ACACACACACACACACACACACACACACACACACACACACACACACAAATAAATCAATATATATGTTACGGTTAAAGTACGAATACCGGTTAAACCTAGAATTTACCGGTAAATCCTAGGTTTCGCCGACTACTGTTGGTAAATGTCCGAATTTCGGACATTTACCAATTGATTTCGGTAAAACCTAGGATGTACTACATCGTTTGGTCAAACCCCGAATGATTTTTGTAGTTCGGACTTTTACAAACGAGATTTGGTAAATCTTAGGATAAACAATCACTGTTAGTAAAAGTCCAAACATTTTTACCAAAGTTATTAATTATTATTATTATTTAAGTATATTAGGTAGGTACTATATCAATGACTAATATATTAGTAAGTTAGTATATTATATTATTATTATTATTAAGTATTAATGCAAAAAATGACAAATTAAATTTACTAAGTACATTTATTTATTTGTGCAGGCTTGACTGCTGTGACACCTCGAGTTGCATAATAAATTTTTTGATCGGCATTTACATCTGTTTGTCACACATTTTTTCAAACAATCACACCTTATTAATCCTTGTCCACCAGTCAAAGACAGTTGCGATACTGCTTGTCGAATACCAATTTCATTATCTGGTATAATTGCCGATTCTAAAAAATTTTCTTCACATAAGGTGAACTGATTGCGAGTGAACAGTTGTGAGATTGTTCCCGCTTTTGTACCCAGGCGATAAAAATCTGCATCCACAACTTGTAACACCTTAGCCATTAATGTGCGGGCATCAATTTTACTTCGATCGACTTCGGGAATTTTAATTTTGACAGTTTGTCCAATTAGTACAATTGGCATTTTCTTGTTTGACATTTGCAACATTTGTCTTGCTTGTTTCTGTAGGCCGATGAGTGATTCTTCTCGATGTTGCTTAATTTTTTGTGTCCGTGCTGGTATTTCATTTTCTACGTCCCTTGTTTCTACATATTGAGTTTCTCCTTGTGTCTCTACAACGTCATCGATTTCAACTTCTTCATCTATCTCACCAACTTCAACTATATTTGCCTTTGGTTCGGTAAGTGCTGCCTCTAAATCCTCTTCTGTTTGCAGTCCTGGTAGTACATTTTTTGGAATAATTGAATTTGCTAATCCCATTTTCATTTTATTCCCAAACATTGCTTCATATGGGGAGCGTTTGATTCCTGAAAATGTGGTAATTAAGTGTATACTTTATTTAAAACTTTAATTTTACTATCAGATTATTACATTTTACGTGATTTCGTAAATGTTTAAATTTCAAACGCTCATAAAAATTTCCAAGGCTGGGCATTAACAAGTTAATAAGTTAAAAATTAAGTTAGTCAATAAGTCAGTTTTTAGGCACTTTAACTATTATCTGGATGACTATTGTTTTTTTTTTTTTTTTTTTTAGAAATGAAAAAAATTAAATGAAACACATACTATATAGAAATACTGTATCTTGTATGAAGTACAAGCATTATAGTATATAATTTATTTGTTTATTGATAAGAAATAAAATATGCCAACAAATAAAAAAAAGTTACTTTTTTTTAACTTCAAAAAAGTTTTAAAAAATGTCTATTACTTAACTGAGATAACCAAAAATTGTATTAACTTTTAACTTTTAACTTTATCTTATTGATGCATATTAAGTTAACTTAACTGAGTTAAAAAAAATCATTAACTTGACCAGCCTTGAAAATTTCTGATTTTAGTTCGGTAGAGTTTTTTTTACAGATATTCGATGAAAAACTTATGGAAAATCTGGTACCAAATTTTCAAAACTTAGTTATAAAAGAAAACAATTTTACGATTTTTCAACCACAAAATTACTTGCAAATTTTCGCAATTTTGACATATTTCGTATAAATTCGAACTTTAAGCACTTATAAAAAAAAATTGTAATTTTCCATCGGAAACCACCCCCAAAGTTTGAAATTGAAGCATTATTTCGACTAGTTATGCTGTACACAGACACACAAAAAAAAAACACACATCATTGTAAAATCAATACATTCATCACTCCGTTCATAATCTAAAACTTATTAGTTTTATCTTGTAAAATACCAATTTCAATACAATACGTACCAGAATGAAAAGCTCCGTTCTTCATAGCTTGTACGAATCTTAAGGACTCTGACCATTTCGTTGTTTTATTTGTCTCCATCCACGTCGCAATCATACTTTCTATATCCTGATTGGCACGCTCCACAGAACCTTGAGACTGACTGTGGCGAGCTTTTCCGTGAACTATTTTCACTTCAGACCACAAACTACACAAATTTGTAATAACAGCATTTACGAATTCTCTCCCATTATCTGAGTGGAGTATATTTGGTGCACCGAAAAGAGTGAAAATATCGAGTAAGTTATACGCAACTTCTTCAGCCCGTTTAAATTTAAGTGGTCGTAAAATAACAAATTTAGTCAAGTGATCTTGATAGACCATTATAAATTTATAATGGTCTATCAAGATCACTTGACTAAATTTGTTATTTTACGACCACTTAAATTTAAACGGGCTGAAGAAGTTGCGTATAACTTACTCGATATTTTCACTCTTTTCGGTGCACCAAATATACTCCACTCAGATAATGGGAGAGAATTCGTAAATGCTGTTATTACAAATTTGTGTAGTTTGTGGTCTGAAGTGAAAATAGTTCACGGAAAAGCTCGCCACAGTCAGTCTCAAGGTTCTGTGGAGCGTGCCAATCAGGATATAGAAAGTATGATTGCGACGTGGATGGAGACAAATAAAACAACGAAATGGTCAGAGTCCTTAAGATTCGTACAAGCTATGAAGAACGGAGCTTTTCATTCTGGTACGTATTGTATTGAAATTGGTATTTTACAAGATAAAACTAATAAGTTTTAGATTATGAACGGAGTGATGAATGTATTGATTTTACAATGATGTGTGTTTTTTTTTTGTGTGTCTGTGTACAGCATAACTAGTCGAAATAATGCTTCAATTTCAAACTTTGGGGGTGGTTTCCGATGGAAAATTACAATTTTTTTTATAAGTGCTTAAAGTTCGAATTTATACGAAATATGTCAAAATTGCGAAAATTTGCAAGTAATTTTGTGGTTGAAAAATCGTAAAATTGTTTTCTTTTATAACTAAGTTTTGAAAATTTGGTACCAGATTTTCCATAAGTTTTTCATCGAATATCTGTAAAAAAAACTCTACCGAACTAAAATCAGAAATTTTCAAGGCTGGTCAAGTTAATGATTTTTTTTAACTCAGTTAAGTTAACTTAATATGCATCAATAAGATAAAGTTAAAAGTTAAAAGTTAATACAATTTTTGGTTATCTCAGTTAAGTAATAGACATTTTTTAAAACTTTTTTGAAGTTAAAAAAAAGTAACTTTTTTTTATTTGTTGGCATATTTTATTTCTTATCAATAAACAAATAAATTATATACTATAATGCTTGTACTTCATACAAGATACAGTATTTCTATATAGTATGTGTTTCATTTAATTTTTTTCATTTCTAACAAAAAAAAAAAAAAAAACAATAGTCATCCAGATAATAGTTAAAGTGCCTAAAAACTGACTTATTGACTAACTTAATTTTTAACTTATTAACTTGTTAATGCCCAGCCTTGGAAATTTTTATGAGCGTTTGAAATTTAAACATTTACGAAATCACGTAAAATGTAATAATCTGATAGTAAAATTAAAGTTTTAAATAAAGTATACACTTAATTACCACATTTTCAGGAATCAAACGCTCCCCATATGAAGCAATGTTTGGGAATAAAATGAAAATGGGATTAGCAAATTCAATTATTCCAAAAAAATGTACTACCAGGACTGCAAACAGAAGAGGATTTAGAGGCAGCACTTACCGAACCAAAGGCAAATATAGTTGAAGTTGGTGAGATAGATGAAGAAGTTGAAATCGATGACGTTGTAGAGACACAAGGAGAAACTCAATATGTAGAAACAAGGGACGTAGAAAATGAAATACCAGCACGGACACAAAAAATTAAGCAACATCGAGAAGAATCACTCATCGGCCTACAGAAACAAGCAAGACAAATGTTGCAAATGTCAAACAAGAAAATGCCAATTGTACTAATTGGACAAACTGTCAAAATTAAAATTCCCGAAGTCGATCGAAGTAAAATTGATGCCCGCACATTAATGGCTAAGGTGTTACAAGTTGTGGATGCAGATTTTTATCGCCTGGGTACAAAAGCGGGAACAATCTCACAACTGTTCACTCGCAATCAGTTCACCTTATGTGAAGAAAATTTTTTAGAATCGGCAATTATACCAGATAATGAAATTGGTATTCGACAAGCAGTATCGCAACTGTCTTTGACTGGTGGACAAGGATTAATAAGGTGTGATTGTTTGAAAAAATGTGTGACAAACAGATGTAAATGCCGATCAAAAAATTTATTATGCAACTCGAGGTGTCACAGCAGTCAAGCCTGCACAAATAAATAAATGTACTTAGTAAATTTAATTTGTCATTTTTTGCATTAATACTTAATAATAATAATAATATAATATACTAACTTACTAATATATTAGTCATTGATATAGTACCTACCTAATATACTTAAATAATAATAATAATTAATAACTTTGGTAAAAATGTTTGGACTTTTACTAACAGTGATTGTTTATCCTAAGATTTACCAAATCTCGTTTGTAAAAGTCCGAACTACAAAAATCATTCGGGGTTTGACCAAACGATGTAGTACATCCTAGGTTTTACCGAAATCAATTGGTAAATGTCCGAAATTCGGACATTTACCAACAGTAGTCGGCGAAACCTAGGATTTACCGGTAAATTCTAGGTTTAACCGGTATTCGTACTTTAACCGTAACATATATATTGATTATTTAAGAGCAGAATTACACGAAAATTATTTTAGAATTTTTATAGTAAATAATAATTAATATTTAATAAATTACTCAGGTATGTAAGTACTATATTTTATTGCAATAAAAAAATAAGCAAAACTAATTAAAATTTTTATCCGGCTGCATTTAATTTGTATAAAATAGTGTGATTTTATTTTTTAGTTGAAAGTTTCGGTTTACTATGAATCTCATTGTCCGGACAGCAGAGATTTCATCATTACACAACTCCATCCACACTTCTGTAAAGTACAACAATACTTGAATTTGAACTTGGTGCCTTTTGGTAAGGCATATGTAAGTACATATTTATATTATATAAACATTATCGATGTTTTCTCACTTTTTATTGAATAATCATTAAAATTAATCTTTAAATTAGGTATATTTAGAGCCGGATCACGTATCTGCAAAGCCGCCCTAGATCAATACAAATTTAGTACTCCTTATCAATAAGAAATTATTAAAGCAACTTATATTTTATGTATAATACTATATGAATATGTGAAAGATACCGTTTGGTGAAAAAGTCCTTTTTGCTTCTATATTAATCCACTCCCTGGCCCTTTTATGTATCATATTTATTACTACAGTATCTATTTACTAATTTTTATAATACAACCTCTACCCCTAAAAGTTATATCTACCTAAATTAAAAAAAATTATGTATTAGTATAAAATATATAAAGTATACACAAAACATTCATAAATCATTAAACATTAATTATTGATCTATCTAAGTAATATTTTTCTAAAACTAATTTCAAAAAATGAACACAGTAAAAAGCATTAAAGCCATTATAACTAAAATTATCTAGCTACATAACACGCAGTATGATTGGAAATTATAGTAACTAAAAATTTTAATTAACCATTTATTGAAATTTAAATAGATATACATCATTTGTATAGGCATCGTTAGAAAAACTTCGAATAATCTACATGTTTATTTAAATTTTAAGTACAAATTAATTTTCAGTTGATAGGTTAGGTTAGGTTAAAGGCATTTTTTAAAAGAATTTAAATTGATATTCATCAATATAAAGTTTTAAAAATGAACAATATTAAGAAATATTTAATGTATGACAAATTGTATTTCAAAAAGTTATATGTTTTTATTATACAATGTATAATTTTCAATGAGTACCTATACATATATGATTATTACTTACAGGTGTATACTACGTATTATTTAACTTTCATACGGTGATAATTTAGGTATATTCTTATTTCTCAGTAGGTACAAAGATTTACTTAAAAATTGCATAGCATATGTACATATTATATTATATACTGTTTAATGTTTATATAATAACGACATGAAATTTATTTTATATAAATTCACATAAACTTTATGAAGCTTCAAAGATTGGTTTGATATAATAAATATTTTCGGTGATATTCACATTATTAAAGCTTTATTTAAAGACAAATGGTTTGAACTTGTTTCATAAGTACCTACCCATCTTCAAAGTGGTTCTGTACTTCTGTTTCGTAAATAAATATTATATAGGTTATATTGGTACCTATACCGTTAAACCGAGATATTCACTACGATGCCTTCCACAAGACATTAAATTTTACTGTACTAGGTTCTCAGTCATAATAGTTTATAAACAACTTTTGGTGAGGGGATTGCACGGGATTTACAATCGAATAATTCGAAGAATAATATAGAACGCATTATATAATAGATTTAAATATATTATAATTTATAAGCATAAACACGAGAATGGTGGGAGCCGGGCATGCACAGGTTTTCCAAGCAAATATTTACTTCCCACATAAGTTCAATATTAATATTACCGTGATTATAAATCAACAAATTTTATTTTAAATGAATATTAGTCATAAATTAACAGATAAAATGTGTGTTACCTACACTATAATACATACTAATACTAATGAGCTATACAGTCAACTTATTATTTAAATCACTTATACTTATCAATAGCCATAAAGATTTAGCTTCGATTGACTTTATTACAAATTCAACATTTTTTAAATCAATAATTGTTGATTTTGACTTTCGAAAAATAATAACTAAAATAGTTACAAAAATTCCAATTAAATATCAAAACAATAGCACCAAAACATTGAAATGTATCAATTATTTTCTATTTAATCAAAAATATGCCCTAAAAATCTTAAAGTATTCAAATAATTATATGCACTATAAATTTTGAATATTTCATCAAAAAAGTTATTAAAAATATTTTGTACTTATTTAGCATACTAAAAAATTTACTAGAACAAATATGAAAATACACCAATAAATTCTTGTTATAGTTTTCACTCATCACTAATCACACTTAGTAATGAAGTTTTGTTGAAAAAAATTTTACAGTCGTTACTAATCTGCATATTGATATAGGTCATTTATAGCCTATAGGTATAAATTTGTGAATGGCCGTCTGTCTTACATCATTGCGTGTATCAATAATATTTGATATTAATTAAATTTTAATTATAACAAAACTAATGCTGAAAATCAGGAAAATTATTAATTTATAAGGTATGAATCCATTAATTTCCAAATATGTTCGTGATATGGGAAAAAGTTAAATAATAATTGTAACTAGACTCTTATATCATTAAGATCTGGTCACGCCTAAAATTTTAAAAAGGTAGTAAGAACTGTTTAGCTATTTAATAACATATTAGTACATTATATATTGTTGATATACTCTATAGCTAGACGTCAACGTCTTATTATAATACTTTTACCTACGATATGCCACATAAATACAGAATTATTACCAATGTATTTTTAATGGGATTTAGCTTCACAATATATATTTATACATTACTATGTAATGTATAAATAAAAATATAACATACAATAATAAATATAGATAACTATATATTATGTGTGTATGTATATAGAATTATAGCCATATGGATTTATATTCAATGTCTATTATTCATATCACACATATTCAAATTTAAGAATTTTTAACTAAATAAACTTAATTTCTATTCTAATATATTAAATTATTTTTAATTTTAGAGTTCGGATCAAGGTTTCACTTGCCAGCACGGACCTAAAGAATGCCGTGGTAACACAATACATAACTGTGTGTTGAAACGTATACAAGATTCTACAGCTCAAGTAAACTATGTGAATTGTGCCATGTATAATCCCGACCAACCAGGACACATTGAAAAAACGGTACTTTTTAACATTTATATGAATACAATTTGAGTAGATACTGGCTATACCTGCATGAACAATATAGAAAGTTTATTTAATAGTATGCTTACTATCTATTGTAGTAACTGATAAGCATAGTTTCTGATAAAATATGATATTTTCTAACCACATCAACAGAGAGCAAATCAAGACTACGAGCTTACATTATTAAAAAGGGTACAACCAGCTACTGTTATATTATTAAGGTCGATATTAAACGGGAATACTTCCTGAGATGGGAGGAAATGATTTTAGGTTGACGGAATTCTTAACAAATAACAATATACATAAATGAAAATTAATTAATTTCAGGAAAGTATTAAAAAGAAATTAAACATTTAACAAAACTTATTAAAAATTCTATTTAAATTATTGCATCACGATATATTAGCAGCTAAAAAAAAATTATCAATAACTATTAGTTTTAAATTTATTTCAGTGTGTTGAAGAAAGCGGCGTCAATGTCGACCAAGTAGAAAAATGTTTTACCTCATCGGAAGGCTATGAAATGATGCTAAAGGCTGAAAAAGAAACTAAAGCAATGACACCTGGACCACTGTTTGTGCCTACCATTGTGTTTGACGATGTATGCGTAGTATATACTTATATTTCATATACAATACAATAGTTTTATCATCTAATCGGTTGAAATTTATTTTTTATTTTTTATGTTTTTTCGTTTCTCTAGGAATATAATGACGATGATCAAAATCAAGCGTTCGTGAACTTCGAATCAACGCTATGTGAGAAGCTAGTGAGCCACGGGCACACGGAAGTGTGCTCAAACGGTGCGATTATAAGCCATGAAACATGTTGAACGATTTATGTACTATAATTGATAATAATGCTTTTATTAACAATACTATATTGTTATTACTAGTCATTTTATCATTATTATTTTATAAATTAAGATAAATTTTGTAATTAATATTATCTATGCATTTTGCATTTTATTATCAACTTAATAAACCTATATTAATTTACCATCGCATACCTGCTGAAGTTTGCAGATATGAAATTTTATACGCAGTTTTCTTTATTAGGTATATTACTTTTGTTCTATTTTTAAAAGGAACAAATATTTATTAATATTCTTATTCTATGTTAGTATACACCAGGGTCCAGGCCTCAGGGGTCACCTAATGGTAGTCCGCGAAAAAATTTTATTCAACTTGCAGACAAAGAATAATTTTCTATTTTTATTGTATTTATAGTTAATTTTTATTTTAAATTTTTTTAAATATTTGTAATATTAATTATGTTTTTAATGTTTATAAACAATAGCAAAAAAAAATAAAAAAAATAATGTTTCATTACATCCAATTTTGAAATAATACTTATTATATATATTAAAAATTTGTTCTAGGAATTTTGATGGCTAGCAAAAAATTTTCAGGTTCAAAAATATTAATTAGTGATCCTTGGTATACACTACCTATATGTATACCATCATAGTTTCCGATATGTTTTTCGCAGACTCCCGAAAGGTTTACGAGTTATTGTTAGCGGGCCGTGGTTATGCTTGACCCGACGATTAAGGTGTACACACTCGTTTATCAACCATATTTTATTAATATGATCACACCTACGAGAAAATTGTTTTCTTCAATAAAATGTTCAAAAAAAATTAAAACGTAATTTTTCATATTTTAAAATAAGGATTAAAATCGATAAAATTGCGAAAATGTTCAAATTAGTTTTTAGTTGAAAATTTATAACATTTTATATTTAGGTTTAAAATCCTTGAAAATGAAATAAAAGATTCTTCAAAAGTTATAATTACTGAATTTAAAATACGTAGATAAGTCGTGTTATATCCCGTTCCAATTTGGTTTTTGGTTCGGTTGTTTGTTTGGTAGTGGGTCTTCTCGAGGAAAGAAATCACAAATACAGTTTTGGTCGTTAAATTACTTTTATTAATTTATTTAATGAATAACCTTAAATTTTACACTGGAATACAAACGTCTTGTTAATACTACGGATTGTGAACGACTGCCTTAAGAAAATATGCTGGCGACGGATGTCGCATACACATCGAAATTGCTTACCTGGTGTATTCTTATTACTAACTAAGGGGTTCTTAACAGTGGGTACCGCTCTGCTTGTAGATTAAGTGTTGAGTGACTCACTATATTATAGGCGTATTTAATTTGAATTCAGTGATATATCATTGTACACAAAAAACGATTCTGAACAGACTATGTGACACAATTACATTTTATGGTATGTTTTTTTGATATGATAGTATGATACCTATTGCAATGTCATTTAATTTACTTTAAATGTTACAATGGGTAGATACATTTTTCCAAGAATATTGCATTTATTATATTATTAATATTTAGTTATTAAAATAATATATATTTTTCTATATTATAACTCAAAATTTAATAACACCTTTCTATATATATATACTATGAAACAGAAAAAAACATAGATTCATAATACTTATAAATGATGCCATTATAAAATAAATCAAAAATGTTATTGACAGTAATAAAATTCATAGGTAATAATTTAAATTACATTACATAGTTTTAATTCACATGAAAAATGTTTTTAAATTATACTAAAATAATTAACATATCGTTATTGATCGTTTAAATAAATAATTTTGTCCAAATTAGAGCTAAGACTGTTCATAAAAATAATTGTCTTTATACATTTTTTAGATAATAAGTGGTTTCACTATAAAATACTTATAAAAAATCTTGCATTAAATTTTCAAAACTTAAATACAAAAAGAAAAGTTTTTATGAATTTTTAACTAGAAAATAGTTTGCAATGTTTTGTAGTTTTAACGAATTTCATCAAAATTTTAATTTCAAAAGCATATAAAAAAAATTATAATTCCTGTTTATTTTTAATATTTTTATTTAGATATAAGAATATTTTTTGTGCAATTTTATATGACATTTTCGAGAATTTGGACCCAACAAAAATTTTTTTTATCGATATTTATAGAAAAAAAAATGTTAAATTTCTCATGCCTATAAATAACTCAAAAAGAGTTTAAAATATTTGAAAATGTTATCGTTCTTATAATGAAAATGATAATATAAGCATTTGGAAAAAATTTCGAATATCTGACTATTATTTTTTTTTCTTTAATATAATAAAGTATCGAAAATTGTTTGAGGAGAAATAGTTATTTTACGGGTGAATATCGAATGTCGTAAATATTTGAACTTGGAATGCTCATAAAAAATTAATTTGATTTTCTGGTAGAATTCTTTTTCATGTATAGATTGAAAATTGAATAAAGTACTATACATTGGTTTTAAGTCTTAGGTATTGGTACAAACAAATTTTTTTACAAGTCATTAACTTCAAAATAACTAATTTTCGTGATTTTTAAAATGTTGTTAAAATTCTAACTTTAAACACTCATAAAAAAAATATTGTGCCTATAGATTTTTGATAATTTCTAATTAAGAAATAAACAGGAACTTGATATTATTATAAACATTTTCTATATGTTGACTTTTTTTGAAACTATTTATAGACATTTGACATTTTAGATTTTGAGCAAAATTATAAGTGTATTGATCTGAAAATGATGTGTTTATTTTTCTATATATTTAATATTCTTATTTAAAATCGGAAAAAAAAACAAAAAAATATAGAAAACCTAGAATTTTTATGATTTCTCAGTAGTCCATACTGAAACCATGAAATCTAGCAAACAATAAACATACAAAGACAATACTTTTTATAAATATTGTAAGTTCAAATTTAGACGAAATTACTTGTTTAAACGATAAATAAAAAAGTAGTTATTTTGTTAGAATTTAATATAATAATTCATAGAAACTTAAAATATTTACATACACTTTATTATTATGAATTTCACTATACGCAAGGACATTATTGATTTATATTAAAATATACTATATTTATTTTATCAACATATTCACATTTATTTACAGTATTTCCTCAAAGCTTTCAAATTATTCTGCAGTCAAATATTTATAGTTTTCAATATTTACATATAGCTAAGTGCATATTTTGTTATATTAGTACTTTAAGTACGTATTTCACATATTTTGTTAAAATAAAAAAAAAAAATATTAATATTTGACATAATAGAATAATATTTTAAACGTACTATACAATATTTTAAACGTACTATACAATATTTTATATTAATTTTCTAGAAATTGAAAAAATTGATTAAAATGATTAAATATAAATTATTAATTAATCTATCTGCCGAGTGTTTTCTAATTATTTGTGTGTTGTGGAAAACATAGAATAGGTCAATAAGGAATACACCGAATACGGTTAGATGTCAATCCTTCTATTGGATCGTTTGTCTAGTGTTAATATTAAATTAGTATAATATTTTAGACATAGCAAAGATTTTGTTATGAAAATAATATATAAAAAATACATTATTTAATAATAAATACATTTGTAATATTTGGTTTTTTAATGAGAAATAAAATGTACTTAAGAGCATGTTTTTGCATTTTTTAAAGCTTAAAATTCCTAGCTCTAGCTTATAATTTACTTATAAATTATACTATATTAATAATAGAAAAAATTAATTACTATATAATAATTAATAGCAATATATTTGTTTGATAATATAGGGCCTATATTATAGACTGACAATTTACAATTAGAATCGTTTTTTATATGCAATGATGTAGCAATTTAGCATTGAATTTAAATTTTACACATCTGCTGCAGTAACCTATTCAATAATGATTAGGTAATAAGTACACTCCAGCTGTATCGCAGAATGGTTACTTACTTTCTTGCTTTGTCCATTTGTATAATATATGATAAGTATCAACCATATAATAAACTTGTTGCATTTTACTTCGACTCGGCTAACATTTAAATTTCAAACCACTATTGTTGAATAGCTGAAACAAGAATATGATATATTGGTAAAATTGAAATCAATTCGTAAATTTCCTAAAGCAACTGTACAATCGTAGTATATGTTTGTGTAAACAGTATAGATAGTATAGTCATTTAAGTTTTCTCATTATTTACTAATGATTTAAAATATTATATTCCATGACGTTGGCTTTTGAAGTTCTGAAAGATATTTTCATGTATTCAAATACTAATATAAAGTATTAACTTATGTGATAACAACATAATGACTAAAGTAAAAAATACAATTACCAATGTGACTTTTTATTTTTGTTGCTTTAAGTTTTAAACGTCACTTTTAGGAACGATCTCAACGAATTATTGATTCCAAAGAAGTTCTTGATGTGTTGTTTCAAAAATTGATGTACTTATGTAAACTAACTCTTTTTTTTTAATTTGAATCATATTAAAAATAATATTTTTTGAAATTAAATATTTAGTTTAAGCTATTATTATTTTCACCTTCTTATCCGTGTGAATGGTATCAACCAATGACCACGCACTAAATTTTACAATCAAATATTTTATTCTCTTTTTTTTTAATTTCTGATAACACCACTACATGATGTAGTGATGTACGAGTATTATGATTTATGATACCACGACAGCGGTTATTCATATAACTATGTTAACTAAAAATGTTTAATTATGTAGGTAACTTATTTTGAAAATACTCAACTATTTTATCAGGAGCTTATAAATAAAATACTTAGTTAATAACTATATGTTAGAAATTTTAAATTACCGCTATCTTAGAAAGTTAATTAAAACCCTAAAGGTACATTATAATAATGATCATAAATCGAATCAATACAGTATTTAAAAAGAAAATTTGGAATCTAGTCTAATGAATTACCTACACAAATTACACGCGTCAACATTAACTATCTTAACCTTTTAAGGCATATCCGGCAAGTATAACGGACGGAAAAACTTTGCTAAATTTTATGACTATTTAACGACATAAAAGATAGTTTGTACGCAAAACCGATAATACTTGTTGTTGGACGTTGATACGTCCTAATTCGAAGACAAATCGATTATTAATTGACGGCGTTTAATATATTATGTAGGTACTTACGGAAGTCAAACAGACTTATAAACCTACACATGTGGGTGTCAGGGCGTCACTCCGTTCAGACAATACTGTGAGTCAATCGATACTTGAACCAAAATAATATAACTAAATATTATATTACTCTACGATTATTACTAAGCACAGTCATAATACAGAGGATTATATTGCAAACAATTTTACCGGAACAATGAAAATGACTTTTGTAAGTACAGTAACCATAGTGCATTATATCTATATAGCATTTCGAATACATGTTTTATATTTTCACAGAATCCTACTAATTCATAAGTACTAAAACGATGATACCTAACTGTCGTTTAATTTTTTTTGTAAATGAATTCTTTTTATTTTTTATTATTTCCATGAAATAAGTTAAGTGGAAAGTGTACCAGGAATGCTTAACTTTACTTATACTATAATATAATTATCAATAAAAAACCTTTCGTTCAATATCTATAGTCATTTCTTATTTTGAAAAATTATTAAATGAGAATGATCAATTTATAGAAGTTTTGTCGATAAACATTTAAGTGAAAAATAACAAAATACTTAAATTTAATACATACTCGTACACATATATTTATGTATCTTAATAATTAATAAACATTAACTTCAATCCGTATGCGTTGTTTCAGTATTTCAAACGCATAATATAAATTCTGAAGAACCTATTTAACTTCTTTATGCTTAATATTAATACTTCTTAACTGAAAATGAAGATTTAATAATTAATTGATACGTAACGATTTATTTAACGTAACAACAACTACTTGTATTTCAAAAAACTAACTTTTTTGAAAAAATTTCTTTTACATAATTTTATAAAGCTATACAAAACAAATTATTTTGAATAACAATAATATTTTTACCATTTTTTATCATTATCGCTTTTGTATTTTTTATTCTTTTGAACAATAGGTACAAACCAAAATTAAACGATAAATTATATATCGCTCTGTTTACCAACATACATCACACGTGTATAATAATAATAATTATTATTATTATGATACAAATTATACAATTATACAACTTTATATTTATACTTAAAATCTAATTGACTCGTATTGAAATCTTGTTACAGAAATCGGTCACGTTCAAGTGCGCATTGCTGGTGGCATTAGCGTTCATCGGCTGCACAATCGCTCGTCCCGAAGTTCCAAAGTCTGCGGCTTCCGAATCAGCGATACAGTCAACACTGTCGGCAGGCAATATGCAGCAGATCCAAGAAACCCTCAGAGAAGCCCTTCCGCTGTACAGGATGGCCACGAAGTCAGCGCACAAGGAACATGGCCACGGGAAACTGTCTGTCGTCCATTTGATACTAATCATTGGCAAAGTGCTCGCGCCGCTCGTGGGCGCCATTATCGAACCGCTACTCGTCAACGTCGCCAAAGGCATCACATGGGCGATCACGTACTCTTTGGCAACTGGTAATTATAATTATATGACGTACTAGTGTCGGTATATTAGTAGAAATTCGATAAAAAAAAAAAAACAGTTTTAAATGTAAAATCATCACATATTTTAGACACACACAATTCGGTAGGTATCAGCGTCTGTGGTTCGCTTGATCGCTTCTACTTTTATTTGTATGAAGTTCTCATGTAAGCAAAATAAATGTTTCAAATTTTATTTTTTTGAGTCTATAATATGTTACAAAAATACAGACATAGCTTTTTGATGAACATAATACGCATAACAAACTATAATTAACTATTACTTAATTATATAAATTAAATTGTTGGTTAGGTTAATGATTTTTATATTTCGAATTACCAGACTGCGACCGAGAAATTTTTATTTTACTGGTCAGACAGACCTATTGCTATATTTTTATTTTCATATTTTACTTGCCTTAACGGCAACATAATATGTGTAATTTTTTTTATGCAACTCTACTTAACAATTCCTTTTAAAGATATAGGATCAGAATAATTATAGTATATATTATGCATTAAAATATTCTAATTATACGTAGATAAAATTATGGTTTTGTGAGAGTGTTAGTAATAATTTGAATTAGTTTTTGTTAGGAGGATACGCTGTGGTCTATGCAGACTGCAGAGGTTACCAATTTACCACCTTTCACATTAAATTAATAAATAATAAACAATCAATAAACTTTTCATTTTGCAATATAATATTTAGTTAAATATAGTTTAGTACCGACGATATAAATTAAAATATATCTTTGATACAAATTAATTAAATTTAACTACTATTAATAACAATTCTTTATTCGTATGCGCGCATAAAAATAACAGAACATTTATATGATGTGTATGTTAGGTAACGGTCAAAAAATTGAATACCTACATTTCTAAAATGAATTATTACTGTGAAAAGTTTGGCAACTCATATGGATTCTTTATAGATCTCTATATAGTATTTACTTTGATTTTCACGTAAACCCCGCATGCATTAATTACAATAGGTTGGAGTAACTTATGTATTATTTTTCACTCATCATTATAATTTATATATATATATATATACATCTGAACCTAAAAGCCATAATTTTAGATATATCTCAGAATAAGAAGTTATCAATATTCATTAAAAAAATAGAATACTTATAATTTTTTTTTTAATGCGAAATTAAATTGTCTTTTTATATGACTCCTGCTCATTAAAAATTTATTATCTATTCATATGTTATATATTCAGTATTATACCTATAGGCTTAAGATACGCATAGTAATGTAGTATATACATATTATCCCTTTCTCATCGACATATTTACGCAAATACTCATACACGTAATACATTGATACGTAAGCAGTAATAACATTATGATTTACGACGGTACTTTGAATACTTATCTGTTTAATAAACTTAACTATATGGTCGCAAGTCGCAACTAAGACCAAATTTGGATGAGGGAGCTGTAGCCTTTTCATTTTTTCTAAATTAATCTGTGTGAACATTTCACCTACATCCCCTCTACTAAAGTTGATATACTCGTAAGTTACTTGTAATAAATATAAATTTACAATTTACATAAATAATAAATCACATCAAAAAAGATTAATCTACAGAGGAGCATAAGATATAGTACAATACATTTAAGCATTGTACAAAGTTAAGAAAGAATCTTGCAGCATTATGTTACTCGTTCTTAGTCAATTTTATGCCTTATTGAAGAAAGCGTTTTTCCTGACTAATTATCCATGATTTCCACCAAGCCCCCGCCTAGTTGTGACTATAAGCTTACATACCTAATGATGTAGATTTTTCATTGCGTGTACATACTCTGAAATTTCATAAAAATATTATAATGTATAATAACCCGTTTTCTCCACAGGATTCGACAAGCCGCCTGGTTACGAGCACTTTGTACCAGCGTTGGAACACCATGGTGGAAGCAACGACGATGACGACGATGACACGGAATATGAATCTCACAAGCCGGTCAGTTACTCGCTAAAAGAGCTCCCTGGACTGGCGTTACAGCTGACCAGCACCGTTTTGGCTGAATCCGGTGTGGGTCAACCGACACAGCAAGCGGAGGCTATGGAAAAGGCCGAAAGGAAGCTCGTGGACCTGCTATTGCAAGACAATAAACCGCCAGCGATACAGTAATCGTTGGCGTTGGCGACCCGTTCGTAGAACTCACGTCGAAACATAATTTTATTATATTATGTAAATATTGCAAACTACGACGATCTGTCGTCCGTCATATTTAAACCGAATAAACTTCAAAAACGAATTTGTGTAGATACACACCGCAAAAGTATTATGTAGTTTTGTTTTTTCGATGACGCGCTACAAACGATAATACCCAATGCCCGATTTAACGGGAAGTACAAAGCACTGAGGCCTCCGTGTTGTTGTCCTAATTTTTTTTACTTTGTTTAAGGAATAGATTGTGAAGAATACTAAATAATTTTCAAGAAAAAAAAAATATTTTAAGAAATTATCCGCAGTTTATTTTAAAAACAACATAACAATTCTGACTTCACCATCGTTTTTAGCATACTTTACTACATGGGTTTAAAAAAAAAAGTGAAAAATTAGCGTGGCCGCTAAACTAGATTTGTTCCTAAACTATTATGTAAACTTAGTTTCGTGTAACTATTTATTTTAATACCTATTCTATATTCAATTTATGAAGACAACTCCACGGTTAACTTGTGCGCAGGGGCATAGTTTAACTACCTAACACACGTACAGACAAAGACGGATTCAGAGACTTTGTTGGGAGAGGGCTAAACTATAATAATATTCATGATAATATCATACCATTCATACCATAGTATATTTTATATTTTTATAGTTAGTACTCCATGTATACATATTAAGTACATACTCCTAACTATACACTTATATGTACATATATAATAATTGATGTTATATGTTTATTTGTAGTTAACAAAATACAGTTTTTTAGAAATACGGTATGGGGGGAGGGGTCTATATTCTCATACCTGCGTACAGATGGCTTACTCGATGAAGGTGGCAAAACCAAGAGTATTTTTGAACAAAAATTGGTCATTGCCAAGTTGTTTTCTTAACTAGAATAGAGTAGGTTTAGCTGAAGTGTTTCTTTATTAAATTCATTTTTACTTTTATTAAATATAATAAAAGAAAAAAAATTAAATGATTAATACATCAATTGACTTAACTTTGACACTGCAGTAATACATATTACAATATTATACATTATGCATAGCTTTGAATAACTTTCATTTAACAAGTTCAATAATTATGACTTTTCTCATCGATATAGATAGACGTAACGCATAATATATTCTTTTACAGAACAAGGACTCCCAAATAATACCAATTGGACTCCATTAAGGGTAGGTATCTACTATCTAGATATTCATAAAGATCTCCATTGTTATAGTCCTTATACTCACCTCCAGGTATCCCACTACTTTTCCACTTGTTAATCCAATTTCGGATTATATAATAATCAGCCAAATAACAGTAGAATTTTAGGTCAACACTAGTTGTGTGTAATTCAGTGCAGCACCAGTTGGACTTCAATTATTTATCATACATTGTAGGTACCTACCTATTTAACCTAAATATTTTCTATATTTACATGTACAAAGGCTTATTTATAGGCTTTCACTTCAATTTCCCTTGAATATTAGTTTTAACTAAAGAATATATATATTGCTTTCATATGTACAATTCATTTTTTCATTTTTTAAAATTATATTTTTTTAACAGTAAAATAAATCTTTGGTACCGATTCATTTGTGATTAAATAGCACGCATAATCATATTGTATCGATTGCACAGTTTTCTATAGTTCATAAATTTCTTTTGAATAGTTTAATCTAGGGGTCTCCAACCTATGGCCCGCGGGCCAGGGTTCCGGTTCGTTTGGCTTTTCAAATTGGCCCGCTAAGTTAACTGATGTTTTGAAAATATTATATATTTATCAAAAGTATTTCCAAGTAAAAGAAAAATAATAAAATCTTAAAATAAAATAAATGGTTTTTCGTTAATCGTTGTCGATTACCCCGTCGATTGCGTTATCATGTTTAAATGCGACGATCGTTAATCGAAAAAATATTCATTTTTCTAAATTTAAAAAGTATCTTTTTATTCTCAATTTCATTACCTCTCTATTCCTTTCGATGCCAAATCGTATCTCAGATTTAGCACTCCGTAAAAAAAGGTTGGAGACCCCTAATCTAATCCAACTTTTTAAATAAAAATAAATTTTGTCTTGTTTAACATGAGGAAATTTCTAAGAACATATCTGATAATAAATATCATAGTAATTAGAACAATACCTATATTTATTTACTAATACTACTAAATAGAACTTTATACAGAAAAAAAAAGAAAATTCACTTAAGCAAATTAAAACAAGGCATTGTGTATCTTGGAAAGTTAGAAAAGTTTGTCTGGATTACCTCGTTTCCAAATTTCATCTTTCTACTACTATCATTAAAGTTCATTAAAACGAAAATTATTCCAGAATATATATATACCTATAGTACATACCACGTTTCACAAATTGCTGTTAACACATAGATACTGCCAAGTACCACTAGTTTAATACTATAAGTAGCCTAAGCATTTGCAAGAGAAATATTTACAAATTTAAAATGTATTTTAAATCAAATTATCGTAGGTCGAAGTTAAATAGGTAGGTAGTAGGTACTCAGTACATAATAATTTATAAAAAATTAAAAATATCCTAAGTGTCACGAGTTAAAAAACAACGAATTATAGACGGTACTTATTAATAAATATTTGAATATACTTAGGTACCGATTTTCAAAAATCAGAATTTTAATAAATTCATTGTTTTTTAATAAAAAAAATGGGAGTAAGCGTGGATTACCTTGTATCTATAATTAACCAGCTTTTGAAATACTAACAATTTTATTATAAAGTGATGATGCAGTTTTATAATTAATTTATAGCATACTTATCTAGTTAAAGCCAGTTAATAATTTTTTTTTAGTACCAACCTACCCACTAATTGTATAGGAAATAGACTCCTAAAAGATATCATCTTTATGGATTTCGTTTTTTGAATGAAACCTTTTCCCAATGTACCTATATAAAAATATGTTTCTCGGTTTACTTCTCGAAAATTCTACTCAATCACTAAATTCTTATGTACTTATGTTGATCTCTGAAGGTTCTCAAGTAGAAGAGTGATTTGCGTAAATCAATATATTGATAGAAATTATAATTGTTTTTAATTTTCAGATTTATCATCAATTTTCGAGAAATTCGCGGAAATAAAATTGTGAAGAAATAAAAAAGGAAAACCCGTTTTGTAGTTTTGAAGTCCTCCGCCATTTTCGTATAAATCGAGGTAATTCTGTTAGGTTTTTAATCTAATGATTTGTAAATCAAGGATATGTAGCCATTTAGCTTGACGACCTTCCAAATTCTAACAATAGTTACTACTGTATGATTTTGTTTTCGTTTTAAATAATAAAGATATATTATAAATTTTAAATTAAGTAGGTAGGTATAATAGCCTGAAATGTGTATTTATCATGTTAATTTTTTAATCTTTAAATGGAAATAAAAACTTTAGAGATAATGCAATAAAAATCAACTCGCAAATATATAAATATATACGTAACATGTAATATTATCTATATTAAGTTCATAAAATAATTAAGTATTAAATAAAAATTTGCATATTCCAACATATTTATGCTTGAAGTTATTTATCAAGTACATGCAGTATAATACTTTTCAAATATTTTCACATAAGGTATGTTTTTCAGTTATTAACCAATACTAATAATCATAACACTTTAGTAGATATTATTTTAAAGTATTTGAACCCGATAACAATTTGTCATTCTGTTACAGTTACAGATATTTACAAATTTACACACTTTGCAATATATTAAACATTAATTAAGTTGTTATGTATGAATTTATTAAGTAGACAAAGATAATTAAACATCAATTGTTGCATGGTAAAAGATTAAATTTTATTGATAAAATATGTACACTGTACAGATTATAATTTAAAAAAAAAACATTGTTAAGTACATATGGAAAAATGCACTATTTAGTTACTTTTTCAAGGTTACTATGTCTCGGTCTTTATAAAAACATTTATTATTTGACTAATGTTTATTAAACATTTACAAATCTATTCAACCTATATAATGATTAACTGAAAAGTTATTTTATTAAAATAAAATTAATTAAATTCGCTTTCAATTGTTTATTGTTACAATGTTAGTAAAGACTCTCGTACAACATTAAATATTAACTTTAATAGGATTTTTATTAATTAGAGTAGAATTAATTTAAAATATTGAATTTATAAATTGTAAAATACACTTATACAATATATTTTCATATCTAGTTATCAATAACTGCCATTTAAAAATTTAGTTAACAAAGAAAAATATTATTCAACGTTTGGTAATAATTAATAACACCCAGTTTCAAAAATCAAGCCCTACTATGAATAAATTATACAATGCTATATGATTGTATTATAATTTAAAATAATATAAAAAAATAATACCATATATGAACAAATTAAACACAACATTTATTAATTGCAATAAAACCCATCGTAAGTTGGGTGGTGTTTCATTTTGGTCAAACTTAATCAGTACAAATTGACCATTTTTTTGATAATATAACTATTATTCATTTGGTCATAATACAAATGTACAATATAATAGACAAAGCAATTAGTTATAATTCAATAATAATAATAATTAAAACATAATCAATTAAATTAATTTATACTATGGAACAATAGTATTGCTTAGGTATTTTTTTTCTTAATAATACATTTTAGAGCTAAAAGACATTTATTAAATATAGACATAACTTAAATATAACATTTTAACAAGAAACAAATACTGCTAATATCCTTTGATTTGCAAACAAAATGAATAAAAATAACTAATAAAGATAAGGTTGGCTAAAAAAAAAAAAAGGAACTTGTAACTCTATAATTGACATGTTTGGTAATGGTAATTCTAAACATTATTGTAGAGGTAACTAACAAAAATAATTGAAAAAACTAAAAATTGAAGTTACACTTATAATACATTTTTTGTTGAAATAAAAATAAAAGTATTATTTTTGAATTATTGAGAAAAAACACATTAAATAAGTAACA